ACGTATGCGTGGCCGGACTTGATGAGCTGCACTGCTAAGTCGTACAGCTCCTGAAAGTAGTCGCTGCTGTAGGTGATCTGAGACATAGGGGCACAGGGCAGAGGGGCGGAGAGGAAGAGGAAAGAAGTGCGCCAGGGGATTTTCAGGTGCTTCTTGCGGTACAGCTTGATCTCTTCCGCTGTCTGATGGTCCACGTATGCGTGGCCGGACTTGATGAGCTGCACTGCTAAGTCGTACAGCTCCTGAAAGTAGTCGCTGCTGTAGGTGATCTGAGACATAGGGGCACAGGGCAGAGGGGCGGAGAGGAAGAGGAAAGAAGTGCGCCAGGGGATTTTCAGGTGCTTCTTGCGGTACAGCTTGATCTCTTCCGCTGTCTGATGGTCCACGTATGCGTGGCCGGACTTGATGAGCTGCACTGCTAAGTCGTACAGCTCCTGAAAGTAGTCGCTGCTGTAGGTGATCTGAGACATAGGGGCACAGGGCAGAGGGGCGGAGAGGAAGAGGAAAGAAGTGCGCCAGGGGATTTTCAGGTGCTTCTTGCGGTACAGCTTGATCTCTTCCGCTGTCTGATGGTCCACGTATGCGTGGCCGGACTTGATGAGCTGCACTGCTAAGTCGTACAGCTCCTGAAAGTAGTCGCTGCTGTAGGTGATCTGAGACATAGGGGCACAGGGCAGAGGGGCGGAGAGGAAGAGGAAAGAAGTGCGCCAGGGGATTTTCAGGTGCTTCTTGCGGTACAGCTTGATCTCTTCCGCTGTCTGATGGTCCACGTATGCGTGGCCGGACTTGATGAGCTGCACTGCTAAGTCGTACAGCTCCTGAAAGTAGTCGCTGCTGTAGGTGATCTGAGACATAGGGGCACAGGGCAGAGGGGCGGAGAGGAAGAGGAAAGAAGTGCGCCAGGGGATTTTCAGGTGCTTCTTGCGGTACAGCTTGATCTCTTCCGCTGTCTGATGGTCCACGTATGCGTGGCCGGACTTGATGAGCTGCACTGCTAAGTCGTACAGCTCCTGAAAGTAGTCGCTGCTGTAGGTGATCTGAGACATAGGGGCACAGGGCAGAGGGGCGGAGAGGAAGAGGAAAGAAGTGCGCCAGGGGATTTTCAGGTGCTTCTTGCGGTACAGCTTGATCTCTTCCGCTGTCTGATGGTCCACGTATGCGTGGCCGGACTTGATGAGCTGCACTGCTAAGTCGTACAGCTCCTGAAAGTAGTCGCTGCTGTAGGTGATCTGAGACATAGGGGCACAGGGCAGAGGGGCGGAGAGGAAGAGGAAAGAAGTGCGCCAGGGGATTTTCAGGTGCTTCTTGCGGTACAGCTTGATCTCTTCCGCTGTCTGATGGTCCACGTATGCGTGGCCGGACTTGATGAGCTGCACTGCTAAGTCGTACAGCTCCTGAAAGTAGTCGCTGCTGTAGGTGATCTGAGACATAGGGGCACAGGGCAGAGGGGCGGAGAGGAAGAGGAAAGAAGTGCGCCAGGGGATTTTCAGGTGCTTCTTGCGGTACAGCTTGATCTCTTCCGCTGTCTGATGGTCCACGTATGCGTGGCCGGACTTGATGAGCTGCACTGCTAAGTCGTACAGCTCCTGAAAGTAGTCGCTGCTGTAGGTGATCTGAGACATAGGGGCACAGGGCAGAGGGGCGGAGAGGAAGAGGAAAGAAGTGCGCCAGGGGATTTTCAGGTGCTTCTTGCGGTACAGCTTGATCTCTTCCGCTGTCTGATGGTCCACGTATGCGTGGCCGGACTTGATGAGCTGCACTGCTAAGTCGTACAGCTCCTGAAAGTAGTCGCTGCTGTAGGTGATCTGAGACATAGGGGCACAGGGCAGAGGGGCGGAGAGGAAGAGGAAAGAAGTGCGCCAGGGGATTTTCAGGTGCTTCTTGCGGTACAGCTTGATCTCTTCCGCTGTCTGATGGTCCACGTATGCGTGGCCGGACTTGATGAGCTGCACTGCTAAGTCGTACAGCTCCTGAAAGTAGTCGCTGCTGTAGGTGATCTGAGACATAGGGGCACAGGGCAGAGGGGCGGAGAGGAAGAGGAAAGAAGTGCGCCAGGGGATTTTCAGGTGCTTCTTGCGGTACAGCTTGATCTCTTCCGCTGTCTGATGGTCCACGTATGCGTGGCCGGACTTGATGAGCTGCACTGCTAAGTCGTACAGCTCCTGAAAGTAGTCGCTGCTGTAGGTGATCTGAGACATAGGGGCACAGGGCAGAGGGGCGGAGAGGAAGAGGAAAGAAGTGCGCCAGGGGATTTTCAGGTGCTTCTTGCGGTACAGCTTGATCTCTTCCGCTGTCTGATGGTCCACGTATGCGTGGCCGGACTTGATGAGCTGCACTGCTAAGTCGTACAGCTCCTGAAAGTAGTCGCTGCTGTAGGTGATCTGAGACATAGGGGCACAGGGCAGAGGGGCGGAGAGGAAGAGGAAAGAAGTGCGCCAGGGGATTTTCAGGTGCTTCTTGCGGTACAGCTTGATCTCTTCCGCTGTCTGATGGTCCACGTATGCGTGGCCGGACTTGATGAGCTGCACTGCTAAGTCGTACAGCTCCTGAAAGTAGTCGCTGCTGTAGGTGATCTGAGACATAGGGGCACAGGGCAGAGGGGCGGAGAGGAAGAGGAAAGAAGTGCGCCAGGGGATTTTCAGGTGCTTCTTGCGGTACAGCTTGATCTCTTCCGCTGTCTGATGGTCCACGTATGCGTGGCCGGACTTGATGAGCTGCACTGCTAAGTCGTACAGCTCCTGAAAGTAGTCGCTGCTGTAGGTGATCTGAGACATAGGGGCACAGGGCAGAGGGGCGGAGAGGAAGAGGAAAGAAGTGCGCCAGGGGATTTTCAGGTGCTTCTTGCGGTACAGCTTGATCTCTTCCGCTGTCTGATGGTCCACGTATGCGTGGCCGGACTTGATGAGCTGCACTGCTAAGTCGTACAGCTCCTGAAAGTAGTCGCTGCTGTAGGTGATCTGAGACATAGGGGCACAGGGCAGAGGGGCGGAGAGGAAGAGGAAAGAAGTGCGCCAGGGGATTTTCAGGTGCTTCTCGCGGTACTGCTTGATCTCTTCCGCTGTCTGATGGTCCACGTATGCGTGGCCGGACTTGATGAGCTGCACTGCTAAGTCGTACAGCTCCTGAAAGTAGTCGCTGCTGTAGGTGATCTGAGACATAGGGGCACAGGGCAGAGGGGCGGAGAGGAAGAGGAAAGAAGTGCGCCAGGGGATTTTCAGGTGCTTCTTGCGGTACAGCTTGATCTCTTCCGCTGTCTGATGGTCCACGTATGCGTGGCCGGACTTGATGAGCTGCACTGCTAAGTCGTACAGCTCCTGAAAGTAGTCGCTGCTGTAGGTGATCTGAGACATAGGGGCACAGGGCAGAGGGGCGGAGAGGAAGAGGAAAGAAGTGCGCCAGGGGATTTTCAGGTGCTTCTTGCGGTACAGCTTGATCTCTTCCGCTGTCTGATGGTCCACGTATGCGTGGCCGGACTTGATGAGCTGCACTGCTAAGTCGTACAGCTCCTGAAAGTAGTCGCTGCTGTAGGTGATCTGAGACATAGGGGCACAGGGCAGAGGGGCGGAGAGGAAGAGGAAAGAAGTGCGCCAGGGGATTTTCAGGTGCTTCTTGCGGTACAGCTTGATCTCTTCCGCTGTCTGATGGTCCACGTATGCGTGGCCGGACTTGATGAGCTGCACTGCTAAGTCGTACAGCTCCTGAAAGTAGTCGCTGCTGTAGGTGATCTGAGACATAGGGGCACAGGGCAGAGGGGCGGAGAGGAAGAGGAAAGAAGTGCGCCAGGGGATTTTCAGGTGCTTCTTGCGGTACAGCTTGATCTCTTCCGCTGTCTGATGGTCCACGTATGCGTGGCCGGACTTGATGAGCTGCACTGCTAAGTCGTACAGCTCCTGAAAGTAGTCGCTGCTGTAGGTGATCTGAGACATAGGGGCACAGGGCAGAGGGGCGGAGAGGAAGAGGAAAGAAGTGCGCCAGGGGATTTTCAGGTGCTTCTTGCGGTACAGCTTGATCTCTTCCGCTGTCTGATGGTCCACGTATGCGTGGCCGGACTTGATGAGCTGCACTGCTAAGTCGTACAGCTCCTGAAAGTAGTCGCTGCTGTAGGTGATCTGAGACATAGGGGCACAGGGCAGAGGGGCGGAGAGGAAGAGGAAAGAAGTGCGCCAGGGGATTTTCAGGTGCTTCTTGCGGTACAGCTTGATCTCTTCCGCTGTCTGATGGTCCACGTATGCGTGGCCGGACTTGATGAGCTGCACTGCTAAGTCGTACAGCTCCTGAAAGTAGTCGCTGCTGTAGGTGATCTGAGACATAGGGGCACAGGGCAGAGGGGCGGAGAGGAAGAGGAAAGAAGTGCGCCAGGGGATTTTCAGGTGCTTCTTGCGGTACAGCTTGATCTCTTCCGCTGTCTGATGGTCCACGTATGCGTGGCCGGACTTGATGAGCTGCACTGCTAAGTCGTACAGCTCCTGAAAGTAGTCGCTGCTGTAGGTGATCTGGGGGGTAAGGGAGAGTGGGGGAGAGTGGGGGAGAGTGGGGGAGAGTGGGGGAGAGTGGGGGAGAGTGGGGGAAGGGGAGGGACGAGACATGGGAAAGGACGTGGGCCGAGGGAGAGGGACAGAGTTTCTCCACGGGCTCTCCAGGTAACTTCCCTGTTCACAGCTTCCTCAATGTAGCCCTTCCTCTGAACACACAAATCACCATGCCAGGGTTGTCGGCATGCACCAAGTTAGGCAGTGAAACTCACCTTGAAGGGTTTCCACCCCAGCCACGCCACTATCTCCTCGATATGGTCTATGTACTCCTGCCTGCTTCTCTGCCTTACTGCCTTTCACCAAGCTGCCTGCAACTCACTGTAACCAGACCTTTCACTCACCTTAAACGGCTTCCACCCCAGCCACGCTACGATCTCCTCAATGTGATCAATGTACTCCTGCTTCACGTCCTCTCTTCCTGTATTTCTGCTTGCAAAGCAGCTCAATGTGCGCACGCCCCGCACTCACCTTGAAGGGTTTCCACCCCAGCCACGCCACGATCTCCTCAATATGATCAATGTATTCCTGCTTCTCTGCCTCTGGGTTGGTGTCATCGTACCTGAGGGGTGAAGAGTGAGAGGGGAGAGCAGCGAGTGGGGGGGGGAAAGGGAAAGGAAGGCTCAAAAGGGGGGGGGGAAGAAGGCTCAATGTGGTCGATATAATCCTGCTTCTCTGCCTCCGGGTTCGTGTCATCATACCTGAAGGGTGATGACTGAGAGGGGAGAGCGGAGCAGAGGGAGCAGAAGAGCAGAGAGTGAAGGGAGGGGTAAGGCCGAAGGAAAAACGAGCATGGAACCGACAATAAAGAGAAGAGCGGGAAAAGGCATCTCTCCCCGTAGCGAGGGCACTCACTGCAGGTAGCAGTTGCCGTCTCTCTCCTTAGCCAGCCTAAGTCCCTGTCGCTCTAGTGGCTACGAAGCCAGTGCCTCTGAAATGCAGATATGATGGTAGCCTTTCTGCAAAACAAGTGAGGCGAGTGAGAGCACTCACCGCAGGTAGCAGTTGCCGTCTCTCTCCTTAGCCAGGCCAAAGTCAACATACATGGCCTGGGGAGAGCAGGGACAGGTTCGGGGGGGCAGATTCGGGGGGAGGGGGGAGGAGGTGAAGATGGGACTTCAGAGTCGAATCAAAACCCGTCTCTCTCCTTTGCCAGGCTAAAGTCCACATACATGGCCTGGGGAGAGCAGGGACGGGGACAGATTGGGGGGAGGGGGGAGGAGCAGGTAAGATGGGACTTTTGAGTCGACTCAAAAGCCGTCTCTCTCCTTAGCCAGGCCAAAGTCCACATAGAAGGCCTGGGGAGAGCAGGGACGGGGGGAGACATGGAGGGGGGCACCCGATTGGCGAATAGTCATTGGGATCGAGGAGGGAGTGCGACCACACCTTCCCCCCCCATGACTGCCAGGTGCTTCTCCAGTCAAAGGATCTGAAAAAACATTCGCTGCGACATACCGACCACAATCCGTGTGCCACTGCATTCACCTTGGCATGCCCGATGTGCAGGTAGCCGTTGGGCTCGGGCGGAAAGCGCGACCACACCTTACCCCCCGTCACTGCCAGGTGCTTCTCCAGTGCCTCGCGGCTGTTCTTGGGGCGCCATGTGGTGCCGTCACTGAAAAATATCTCTGTGTGCACCTGGAAAGGGAGGAAGGTTGGGAAAAGGTGGAAAGGAAAGGGTGGAGGGAGGAGCTGCCAGGTGCTTCTCCAGTGCCTCCCAACTGTTCTTGGGGCGCCATGTTGTGCCGTCACTGAAGAAGATTTCCGTGTGCACCTGAGAGGGAGGGAGAGAGGGCCATTTACAAGGGGGGCAGCGAAATCCTTGAGATGCCTCTCGGCTGTTCTTGGGGCGCCACGTGGTGCCGTCACTGAAAAATATCTCCGTGTGCACCTGAGAGAAACAAATGAGAGACGAGGCCTGCCTCAAACATGGTCTCAGGAAGACAGTCTGATATTGAGTTGAGAGGGAAAGTGAGAGAGCTCACCTTGTTGTTATCCTGCGGGTTGGGGAAGATAGCATACGGATCCGACTCCTCCCCGCCATCCACCCCCACTGCCGCCCCTACTGCCCCTGCCGCTGCTGCTTTATCACCACCCCCTGCTGCCCCTCCAGCAGCAGCAGCAGCACCACCACCAGCAGCAGCAGGGAGCGTCGTCCCCTTTGGGTTTCTTCTCCTTCTTCTTCTTGGCGGGTTTTGCCTCGTCCGCCTCTGTCTTTGGCCCCAGCACCGCCAGCACCTGAGCGTCCACCTCCTCCTGCTCGCACACACGCACACGCACACATGGACGGGGTTCAAACACACGCGGGTGATGGGGAAGGGCGGGAGGGGAGGACTTGGGTTTCGCCTCGTCCGCCTCTGTCTTTGGGCCCAGCACCGCCAGCACCTGAGCGTCCACCTCCTCCTGCTCGCACACACGCACACGCACACATGGACAGGGTTCAAACACACGCGGGTGATGGGGAAGGGCGGGAGGGGAGGACTTGGGTTTCGCCTCGTCCGCCTCTGACTTTGGGCCCAGCACCGCCAGCACCTGTGCATCCACCTCCTCCTGCTCGCACAGGTGGTCCAAGAGGGAAACGGGGGAGAGGGGGATGAGGAGGAGGGAGGCAGTAGGGCTTGGACTGATCTGCCTCGTCCGCCTCTGTCTTTGGGCCCAGCACCGCCAGCACCTGTGCATCCACCTCCTCCTGCTCGCACAGGTGGTCCAAGAGGGAAACGGGGGAGAGGGGGATGAGGAGGAGGGAGGCAGTAGGGCTTGGACTGATCTGCCTCGTCCGCCTCTGTCTTTGGGCCCAGCACCGCCAGCACCTGTGCATCCACCTCCGCTCCGCCTGCTCGCGTAGACGCGTACACACACATAGACCGGGGTGAACATGCATGTGGTGGTGAGGGATGAGGATGCACAAGTGTTGAGACTTCGCGATTTGGTGAGGGGATGAGGTGAGAAGGACGAGGGAAGTTGGGTTTGGCCTCGTCCTCCTCTCTCTTTGGCTTTTGAGAATTCTCAAAAACCGTCCTCCTCTCTCTTTGGCTTTTGAGAATTCTCAAAAACCGTCCTCCTCTCTCTTTGGCTTTTGAGAATTCTCAAAAACCGTCCTCCTCTCTCTTTGGCTTTTGAGAATTCTCAAAAACCGTCCTCCTCTCTCTTTGGCTTTTGAGAATTCTCAAAAACCGTCCTCCTCTCTCTTTGGCTTTTGAGAATTCTCAAAAACCGTCCTCCTCTCTCTTTGGCTTTTGAGAATTCTCAAAAACCGTCCTCCTCTCTCTTTGGCTTTTGAGAATTCTCAAAAACCGTCCTCCTCTCTCTTTGGCTTTTGAGAATTCTCAAAAACCGTCCTCCTCTCTCTTTGGCTTTTGAGAATTCTCAAAAACCGTCCTCCTCTCTCTTTGGCTTTTGAGAATTCTCAAAAACCGTCCTCCTCTCTCTTTGGCTTTTGAGAATTCTCAAAAACCGTCCTCCTCTCTCTTTGGCTTTTGAGAATTCTCAAAAACCGTCCTCCTCTCTCTTTGGCTTTTGAGAATTCTCAAAAACCGTCCTCCTCTCTCTTTGGCTTTTGAGAATTCTCAAAAACCGTCCTCCTCTCTCTTTGGCTTTTGAGAATTCTCAAAAACCGTCCTCCTCTCTCTTTGGCTTTTGAGAATTCTCAAAAACCGTCCTCCTCTCTCTTTGGGCCAAGCATGCACCGCTGCCAGCACCTGTGAATCCACCTCCTCCCGCTCGCACACACACACACACACACACACACACAGATGCATGGTTTGGGGTCAAACCGACTCAGGGGTGACTTTTGAGTCGACTCAGAGGCAGCAGCACCACCACCACCGCCACCACCACCACCACCACCGCCAGTACCTGTGCATCCAACTCCTCCTGCTCGCAAAAGCACACATGGTTAGAAATTAGACACATGGAGGTGGTGGCCGAAAAAGTGGGGAGAAGGTGACACGTTGATACCAGCCTTGTTCCCCATCTCTTGCCACCACCTGTGCCAGTGCGCAATCAGATCCTTACAAGATCGCCCGGAAGCAGCTTCTGGACTGGAACCCCTCACAATTTCGCCTTTTAGAACCCTCCAACAAATCACATTTGCATACTCCTACGAATACGTGCAGTTGTGAGAAGAGTGGTTACATTTCACAAGCGTGCTCCGAACCACACCAAGCAGAGAGGGACCCACCTTGGCAAGCTTTCCCATCCGCCCATGGTTGCAGCGAGGTTACTGTTGCGTCAACTCTCAAGCCACCTCTCTTCGCCCTATCAACACTTCCATAAGCACGTTGTGAATCCTTCAAGGACTCAGAGGGGATTCAGAGAGGATTCAGAGAGGATTCAGAGAGGATTCAGAGAGGATTCAGAGAGGATTCAGAGAGGATTCAGAGAACAGACCCACCTTGGCCAGCTTGCCATCCGCCCATGGCTGCAGCGCGCGAACCTTGGCGAGAATGAGACCCACTGCAGGGGAGAGGCGGGGTGCAGAGGGGTGAGGAGGGGTGTGGAGGGGTGAGGAGGGGTGAGGAGGGGTGAGGAGGGGTGAGAAGGGGTGAGAGGGGGCGCGAAGGGAGGTGGAGAAAAGGGTAAGGAATGAAAGCGGAGGAACAGGAGCTGGGTTGGAATGAAAAAAGCAGAAAGCCCAGAAATCTTTTAAAGCAGAGGGAGGCTCTGGCTCACCGTTGAAGCGGTATCACTCTTCCACCAGCTTCTCTTTGACCGCCGCTACAGCCTCACTCACGGATGCCTAATTGCAAATTCTATGGCCTCAATAGCTGCACGAGTGGACAAATTCTCACCGTTGAAGCGGTATCGCTCCTCCACCAGCTTCTCTTTGACTGCTGCTACAGCCTCCGTTACTGCTGCCTTGATGTCCTCCAGTGACACCTCCACTCCTGCTCAATGCAAGGGGAGGTGCAGAAGGACAGGCAACGGAAAAGACAGCCCTTGGAGTGCCAAAACAATCCATGCCACCGAAACTGAAGGAAGGAGAGGAAGGGCGGAGAGGAAGGGTGGAGAGGAAACGGAGCTTTGTGGTGCGAGGTGACAAGGAAGAGAGGAGTTGGGAATAAAAACAACAGTGGGAAAGAAGGTCCGGAAGAAGGGGGGGGGCAGTGTGGGTGACCGAGAGGGGGGGGGGGGGGGTGCTGTACAAACTGGTCCAGTTTCTTCATCGTAGTGCGACATTCCATGATGCTGAAGGGTTTTTTTTAGAATTCTCAAAAAAACCCTTCAGCATCGGGGGGGGGGGGGGGGCCTGTACAAACTGGTCCGGTTTCTTCATCATAGTGCGACATTCAAGCCGTCCTTCCCACGTACCAACACCACTCTTCGCCTCCAGCTCAGCGGTGTTGAGAGGTTCCTGGCCCACAGTCGCCAGATATGCGTGCGCTGCCTCCAGCTGAGGCACTGTCTTGATCTGCACAGGGGAGGGGCGAGGCAATAGAGCGAGAGAGCGAGAGAGAGAGAGAGAGAGAGAGAGAGAGAGAGAGAGAGAGAGAGAGAGAGAGAGAGAGAGAGAGAGAGAGAGAGAGAGAGAGAGTACAAATGAACAGGTTGCAAGGGAAAGAATGGTGGGCTTACTTTGTGGCAAGAGAACAAATGCACGCGCGCGTTAGCAGGGGAGGCTTGTGTTGTGTGGTTTGAGTCGAATCAACGACACCTGGTCTGGTGGGCTCACCTTCTGGGAGGTGACGTAAGAGAGTAGGGTGGGCCGGTGCACGCGCGCATTGGCAGGGAACTTGGTGGCAACCTGCGGGGAGATGAGAGGGCCAGTTGTAGAGAAGGGCGGACGGAGAGAGGAAGATGGAGAGGGAGGGAAAAGCAGCTGTGGAGGTGCTAGCAGGAGAAGGAAAAGGACTGAGAGCCGATATGATTCAGATTGGCAATGGATGCGCATCAAGGTGACAACGAATGTGTGCATCACGTTGACAATGGATGTGCATCAACAGAGCACATCGACATTGTGCCGCATAACCCACCGTGTACAGTACAGTCTACACCCATAAAACTTCCAGTCATCCAAAAGCAGCAACGCATATCGCATCTAGTGCAGCAGTCCTCACCAGCTGCGGTGCCTTGTGCAGCAGGACCCGCCGTGTACACCTAAAAACCGATTCATTCACCCCAAAAACAGCAACAGGCTACACCCTGTATGTACAGCAGAACCCAAGGTGTACAGTACATCCGATGCCAACCTAAAACAACAGCGCGCATCGATCGAACCCGTCCCTTGTTCAACAGAACCCAGCAATTAGACCTACAACAGCATCAGCAGAATGAACCGTGTACAGCGAAACCCACCGTGTAGAGCAAGTTGCCGATGGCCTTGTCACACCCGCCTTCCAATGACGCCTGCGAGGCATGTCAGGGAGATGACAGCGGGAGGGGATAAGGAGAGATCAGCAACGGTGCCTGCAGAAGGGACCCACGTGTACAGCAAGTTGCCAATGGCCTTATCGCGCCCGCTTTCCAGCGCCGCCTGTGAGGCATGTCAGAGAGGTTTTTGCGATAAACAGTGCGCGAAGAGGAACAATGAGAAGCGCAGCAGCACTGCGACAGATCGACTGGTTGCAGAACGATTGACGAGCAGACGGAAGGACAGAGTGTTCAACACAATGCCTGGGATCGAGGCAACGAATAGAAGAACGTGTAACAGCAGAACCTGGCAACGGCTGAGATCCAGGTAACGGGTAACAGCAGGCAGAACCAAGGAACGGCAGAGATCCAGGCTGTACACCTGGCTGACCGAATCTCAAGTGCAGGACAGTAGGATCGAGGCAACGGTTAAGGCTCCTGGGATTCGTTGTTCCTTCCGGCGAACTCGATCCAGCGGTTTCGCAAAGGTTCGCGAAAGCCTCGTACCTCTTTGATCACTTCGACGAGGTTCGCAGTAACCTTGGCGTTTGCAACGGCATTCTGAGCGGTCTTTTCGTCCAGGCCGATTTTCAGAAACATCTCCAGAGCATCCTTCGCCAAGGCCTCCTTGGCCTCCTTGTCGACCACCGCTGGAGGCATGGTGGCTTGCTGATCACAACCGGACTCAACTAAACACCGACTACAGGAATAACGTGAAGGAAAACGGGATAATGGCGGTAAAGGCAGAGGTGAATGGAAATGAACAACTGTGCGAGCGAGATAGCTAAGGCTGGCTTATGGCTGTGATCCCTGGTTTTAGAGCGTGCTCAACAGTACAAAATAGGATGTTCTCTTGTCTACTGTGCAATTCGTTGTCCCATCTTCGAGATTGCAGAATACGTATTAAGTTCGTTCCCTGTGACAGAAACGAGCCGAGGCAAACTATGAACCGGAGGTTAGGTACACATTTTTTGGCGTCTGATTAAGTCTGGGGCTGGCCCTGATTCTTCCAGATCGGGTCAATTTTGAATCGGGAAGGCTAGCTGGTCGCAGCCGCAGACACAGAAAGCACAAAAGTTCGGAATATATAACCTCAAGTTCGGGTTGTCGAAGATGCAATAATCACCAATCAAAACAAAAAGTGAATGTTTCTGGTTGGTTGCTGAAAAAAGGCTCCGTCCAAACCTGGAAGTTGCTGATTATAGTGCGTGTTTTCTTTAGTAACACAGCTCTATTGTTCTTGGTACAACCAAGAACGGTGCCATTATAACTTATACTATTTGGTATGGTATATTTTCTTCATAAATCTTGAACCCTATATATTTTCGAATATCCATCATATCTATACTAAATCTAAAATTTAATTAAGTTTTTATGCACACCATGCAACTGTAGGAACTTAGTAATGACAATCTTCATGTAATTGCCGAAATATATCGGGAACAGACTGTGTAAAATATGCAGGTCAAACAGTGTATCATAACAAGTTCGCCCTTTGAGGTGCATACTGTTACGAATAATGAAATATGATTGTGCACTCCTAACCGCAGCAAAGCGAAGCACACAGTATCGAGGCACGAACGCGAAGAGTCAGAGTTGACTCGAAGGGTCGCAGACAGTTAGGAAGGATCTGGACCGTCGGAAGCAGACAGCATCGGGTGTCAGATTATGTTATTTGTCTAGCCTGCAGTGGGGTGCTCAATAGTGAGTACAACCCCTTAGGGTTTCCTATATGTATCCTGCTGCTTGCTAGTTCACATCATCATTCCCATTCTCACTTCTCCAATTCTCCTTCGCATACCCAAAACCCTAGTCCTAGGGCACATCCTACTACCTCCTAGTGTGGGCCTAGGCTACTAAGCCTAGGCCCCACTCCTATTGTTTCTAACATGGTATCTAGAGCGAGTACGTTCCTGCCGCTTACCTCTATGGGCCCACCACCTGCTTCCGCTGCCGTACTGTCCGCCGCGCGCCCCGTGGTGCGCGGCGGCGAAACCCTAATTTTTCATCCCGCCGCACGCTCCGAGCGTGCGGCGGTTTTCTGCCTGCCGTGCGCCCCGAGGCGCGCGGCGGCTTTCCGTTCCCGTCGCCCGCGGCCCCCCCGTTCCCGTCGCCCGCGGCTTTCCGTTCCCGTCGCCCGCGGCCCCCCCGTTCCCGTCGCCCGCGGCCCCCCGTTCCCGTCGCCCGCGGCCCCCCGTTCCCGTCGCCCGCGGCCCCCCCGTTCCCGTCGCCCGCGGCCCCCCCGTTCCCGTCGCCCGCGGCCCCCCGTTCCCGTCGCCCGCGGCCCCCCGTTCCCGTCGCCCGCGGCCCCCCGTTCCCGTCGCCCGCGGCCCCCCCTTTCGTCGCCCCGCGCGGACGCCAGCGCCACGGCCAGCCGCGAGCGCCAGCGCGGCCCGTACGGACTGCGCCAGGCCAGGGCGCGCCTCGAGCCGCTCGCCACTGCAGCAGCCGCCCCTGGAGCCGCCTGCCACTGCAGCAGCCGCCCCTGGAGTCGCCCGCCACAGCAGCAGCCGCCCCTGGAGCCGCCCGCCACTGCAGCAGCCGCCCCTGGAGCCGCCCGCCACTGCAGCGGCCGCCCCTGGAGTCGCCCGCCACTGCAGCAGCCGCCCCTGGAGTCGCCCGCCACTGCAGCAGCCGCCCCTGGCCCCTGGAGCAGTCGCCACTGCTGCAGCTGCCCCCAGAACCTCAGTCGCCGCCCCTGGAGCAACCGCACCAGCAGCAGCCGACCATGCAGCTGCCCGCGACGCCGCTCCTGGACCCTGTGCAGTCACGCTCAGTCTCACCCGCGCCCTTGTGCGCCCTACCCTACCTGCTCCGCGCTGTTGCTCTGCACGCGCGGTTGCCCGCGCCCTCGTGCGCTCTACCCTACCTGCTCCGCGCTGTTGCTCTGCACGCGCGGTTGCCCGCGCCCTCGTGCGCTCTACCCTACCTGCTCCGCGCTGTTGCTCTGCACGCGCGGTTGCCTGCGCCCTCGTGCGCTCTACCCTACCTGCTCCGCGCTGTTGCTCTGCACGCGCGGTTGCCTGCGCCCTCGTGCGCTCTCCCGCCCCGGCCCTCCCCCCCCCCCCCCCCCCCCTGCGTCCCCTGGACAGGAGGGTGTGGGGGTGGCGGGTGTGGGGGTGCTCCTTGTGCGTCGCCCCTACCTTCTCCTCCGTCTCCCACTGCTGCAGCTGCCGCTGCGGGGGGGTGGATGTGTGGGAGACGAGGGAGTGGTGCTAAGGGGGTGATGTGGGCGAGAAGCGAGTGGTGACACTGGGGGTGAGTGTAGGGGGGAGTGAGACAGTTGGAGGAGGTTGCAACCTGGTGCTCCTGGTGCCCGTGTGTCTGCAACTTCAGTCGTCGCCTCCTCTCTTCTCTCCCTCCACAGTTCCTCCTCCTCACTGGCCTCCTGTGACTGCCACTAGCTTTGCTGATAATTGTGAACTATTGCTGTGACTTCTCACGTGTGCTGATTACACCCCACTTTGGCTATGGGGGTGTGTCAGATTATGTTATTTGTCTAGCCTGCAGTGGGGTGCTCAATAGTGAGTACAACCCCTTAGGGTTTCCTATATGTATCCTGCTGCTTGCTAGTTCACATCATCATTCCCATTCTCACTTCTCCAATTCTCCTTCGCATACCCAAAACCCTAGTCCTAGGGCACATCCTACTACCTCCTAGTGTGGGCCTAGGCTACTAAGCCTAGGCCCCACTCCTATTGTTTCTAACATCGGGCAGCTGCAAGAACAAGGAATTGGCGGGAACAGTTTTCGTAACTGCTCGAACTGCACGGTTGACTTGAATTTGAATGAGGTAATGTACCCCTTGGAGTACATGGCTAGCTATGTCACTTCGTATTCCATCCTGTACTGCTATTTATATGCTTGTATCTCCATGTTTTAATCATCTCAACATTTTATATTCACTCTGTCTGGGATCAAGGGCCCACCACTACCAATCCACTGTGTGCGAACCTTCCCGATGTGATCCTAGGGTCGATCAATTATTGATCGCAACATGGTATGAGAGCTACTCGGGAATCCTTTGCAACGCCACCACCGAAACCATCGGCGAACTAAAGTGGCATCCGGCACACGCTCATGCGTAAGAATGGCCGGAGGATCCGGAGGTCAGACGAATCTGACGGCTGAAGCGCAACCCAACCCGGCTGCGACAAACGAGGCGACGACAACCATTAGCACCGCGGTCCTTGAACAACTGCTTCAACGACTCACGAACTTGGAGCAAGGACTCCAAACATTGCGGAATGGCGACGCGGGAACATCTTCCCAACCCTCTCAACCAGCCTCGAATAGCCATCATACCGCCCCGCACACCTTCTTCCTCGAAACAAATGGCTCAACTCCCAAAACTCCCCGTCCCAGCGAAGAAGCAATTCTCTTTGCACAATCAAATTTTCTCAGCATGTAAAGAATAATGACAAGTGTGTGCTTTGACGACACAGATTTCTATACTTGGAGACAAAAATGGCCCCAAGGGAGAAAACCAATAGCTACATCAATCGCTGTCGGAGCCTCCGCGATCAAATCGCGAAGTTGGGAAGCAGCATGTCCAAAAAAATCTTCGTAAATATTGTGCTTCAAGGGCTCGGCCCAGAGTGGCGGCCCTGCAAGGCGCTTCTCCGACGGCAAGGGGTCATCTCGGAGGCCGCCCTTTGCGCCGCCCTTTGCGTCGCCCTTGTCATCGAATAGAGGGATATGGATCAGCACTGACCAGCGCCGCGACGAGACTGGGAACGCCTCGCCTTCTACGCGGACAACACTGAAGAGCGACGGACGCGACGCCTCAATTGCAAAATTTGCAGAAACTTCGGGCACCTAACAGATCGATGCAAGTCCCGATCTCGCCCTCGCCAGACCAATCCGAGCAACTGGTCCGGCCGACAAGACGCACGAAACGACATGCGTCTAGCCCAGGGGTATCAACCCCCATTGCGCAATCTGAACCCAGCAGTTCAGCATCAGCAGCAGCAGCCGTCACCGCCTGCCCTAGCGCGTAACATCATGGGGAATATGGCCATGACTAGCAAATCCCACCGTCGCCGCGTACGCTCACCGTCACCTGAGCCAGCACCTCACCCAATTGGCGCGTACTCCAACAACAACCCATTTAGAACGCGCCACGACTTCAGCGACGACGACGATCAAGATTGGAATCTCCTCGATGCTTGAAATTCCCCCGTACGTACCTGATATGCAGGTGGCACCACTCGATTGGCTCTCGCGCGAACAATTTCTGAAGTTTGACACTCCGCACATCGTCACGCCGCGACTGGCGCTGCTCGCACATGACGATCATAAGCGCTACAACACTTGGTATCTGGACAGCTGCTGCGGCCCGCACATGGTGGGTTCCGACCGTTACATCTCTAACGCTGTCGCAACACTTGCCTGCGCGCAAGGAATCGTCGTGTTCAAGGCATGGGGAAGCGACACGCACATCACTCATCGTCCAGAATCTGCGCTTCAACTTACTTTCCACCGCACAACTCCTGGATTGCGATGTCGAACTCAGCACAAAATCGCGACACGCGCGACATTCTGCTGCACTACTCATCGCCGACCACACCACGCAGGCAGATTGGACGAGCACCCTATGAAAATGGAGTGTATGTTCTTGATTTCGATATTCGCGACTGCAGCGGCGATTCGAACGAGCTCATCGACCTCGTCCCACTGCGCTTCGAGCATATTCACCGCAGGGACTGGAAGCATCCTGACGGAAGACCGTGAGTGCCGCACCACCTTCACCCACGCAAGCTGGCACTTCACGACCCTGACCCAGACGGCATCTGCAGGGACTGCCACACACCCACCGCCTCAACCAGCGCAACTGGCGGCCGTGATCTCGCCGCCATCGCCGAAGCAGAGGAACATGCGCCGCCAGAAGAAGGCATGTCAGCGCTGGAGCTGGAGGTAACCACCCAGCGTGTTTTCGGCACCGAACACAGTCCCCACGCTGGACCCCCTTCTCAGCGACTCGAAGGCATCTTGCGCGGACAGCGCCGCGGGACCTTCCACGCGCGCGGAATGACGCACCCCTACACAAGAGAGGAGTTCTTGAAGATTTGCCCCCACTGGCGCCACCCCACAAAGAAAATGACCGTGGTGGTAGAAGAAGATTTGGCGCGCCGCGAAGCGGAGGAGCTTCGTTGACAAAGCCTTGCCGAGGCGCGCGGCACATTCGCATGTGCCGCATGGGGCGCCGAAGAGGAAGAAAGCGCCTCCAATGAAGGGGGGTGGGGAAGCACTGGCAGATGGGAAACAAGCGATACTCGCGGCTGGGGCGCCGCATCTGGTGGTGAAGTCAGCGGATGGGGCACTTCCGGCGGAAATCACGGAACTTCCCGCGAAAAAACAAAGAAAGGGAGAAGAAGCAGAGGCAGAACCTCCCATTGTTCCCCTTGGTCGTCCCCCGCACCGCCCTGCACCTGCGTTACCTCCACCAGATATCCAGCCACACCGCGACCCTTAGGACACCATCGACTGGGGCAACGTACCATCAACCCCGCGTCGCACCGTCTACGGACCTGCTCCCGAGCCGCGCGAACCAACCTTTGTCCCTGGAACTATCCCTGGGACCAATATTCCCTTCTCCGTAATTCTCGACAGAGAATTCTTGGCGCTGATGATGACCACGGCAAACGACGAAGAAGAAGAAGCAGAAGAAGCAGCAGCAGAGCTGCCCCAGTACCTGACGAAGACCCCGAAGCAGCGCGCGCACGTTACATGCGGACCTCCGGATTCCGCGCCAGCGATGACCTCTGGCACCAGCGCCTCGGACATCCCTCGCACGCGACATTGGAAAATTGCATCGAAGCTGGTGTCTTCGCCCCTGGCGCACTACGCCTTGATGGCACCGAAGTAAGAAGCGCGACACACCCGCGCAACTGTACTGTTTGCCCTGAAGCTGCACTAAGTCACCAGCCATTCGCGGCGCTCGAACCAGGAACCAACCGCTACCCCAAGTTGTGCAAAGTGTACAGTGACTTTGTCAACTTTGGGCACTGCGGAGTGAATGACGAGCTGTATACGCTCACCTCCATCGATGCTGGGACACGCTATATGTGGGTCATGAACGTAGAAGCACACAGCAGAGCGTACGAGGCGTTCCGTCTCTGGCTGGCGAACGCGCAGCGGCAATCTGGGGAAAAGCTAAAGATCTGGGAATCGGACGGCGCAGCTGAATTCAGAAGCAAGGAGCTGCAAGATTACCTGGCGCAGAAGGGAATTGAGCATCACATCTCCCTTTCATACACGCATCAGCAGCAAGGCGTAGCTGAGCGGACGAATCGCACGCTCATGACGAAGTTGTGGGCACTGATGAAGCAGTCCAAGCTCCCGCCGATCTACTGGACCTACGCAATGCACCACGCCGTGCGGGTGCACAACCTGCTGTCAACAACCGCCATCACCGGCAACTTGTCCCCACATCTTAAGTGGACGGGGACAAAAAGGGACACATCCATGCTCCGCGTGTGGGGGTGCATGGTGCAGTACCGCCCGCCGACGTAAACTATTGGAAAATTCACAAGCCGCGCGCGCTGGGGAATCCACCTCGGCATCAGCCACGAGCACAAGGCATGGATCATTCTGGACCTGCTCAGCCGAGAAACTACTCATGCGCGCGACATCATATTCTATGAACGCCTCTACATCGAGCAATTCTGCAAGGACGAGCGAACAAACGCAAATCGCGTTTACGCGAATGACGGGCACAGCTATGCAACACCTGAGGACGAAGCCCCTGCAGCGATCCTCGAGCAGGACACCAAATGCGAGTTTATAATAGGAGATCGCCACAGCAGCGACGATGACGACGATGATTCCTCTGGGGGAGGAATGGGCGGAACAGGAGGAAGCGGCAGAGGCGCAGCTCCACCAGCACCGAGTGACGACGACGACGTGTAGGAGGTTGTCCCGCAGCATCGCCACAACAGCACCGTCTCCGGGCTGCAGCTTCTCGGGCTCCACACCGCGATCTCAACGGCGCCACGTATCATCGAACTGAAAAATCCGCACCAAGCCCTCACTGGGCCACAAAGTAAGGAATGGCGCGAGGCGATGGATGCGGAAATCAAGGCGCTTGAATCACGAGACACCTGGGTACTCGTCGATCGCGCCGCAATCAAGGGAGCAAGGATTCTTTCCGGGAAGTGGGTCTTCCGTGTGAAGACCGCAGCAGATGGCACGATCGAACGGTCCAAGGCACACTGGGTGGTGCGAGGTTACGACCAGAGGCACGGGATCGATTTCGATCAGACATTTGTGCCGGTCAGCCGTCACACCTCTGTCAGAATCCTGATCGCCATCGCCGCTGCAAGGCGCCTGCCACTGCGCCAAATCGACGTGAAGAATGCGTTCCTGTACGCGTTAGTTGATGCAGTCATCTACGTGGAGCAGCCGCACACGTATGAAGAAGGAGACTCGCAAGTATGTCAGCCGCGTAAGTCCCTTCACGGGATCAAGCAGGTGCCAAGGCTCTGGCAGCAGTACCTGCACAACATTCTGCTTGAAATAGGCTTCAAGCAGATGCCTTACGACCCCGGGATGTTTCGCCCTGATTTCCGCGGAGATTACATTTTGCTCACCATCTATGTCAATGATTTGCTCTACACGGGGTCAAGCAACGAATTGCTCGAGCAATTCGAGAAGAATCTGGCAGGGCGCGTTGACATTACCTGCAACTACGAAGTGAAGCAGTTTTTAGGACTCAACATCTTCTGTGCACTAGAGGCTCTCAGTGGCTAAGTACGCAGAGGAGCTTGGAAAGCGCTTCAACATTTCACCTGCGCCACTCTCCACTCCTTGCCGCACTCCCGGACCGAACCACAAACCTGACAACAAGGCCCTATCCCCTGCTGGAATCCAAACTTACCAGTAGCAGCTGGGATGCCTGCTCTTCGCCTCAATTACCTGCAGGCCCGAGCTTTCCTACATCGTGAGCCAACTAGCTCAGCAATCTTGCAAACCAACCGCTGAGAACCTTCTGAATATGGAGCGCGCCCTGCAGTTCTTCGTTTCGACGCCTAAGATTGGGCTGTGTTACTCAACAGTGCCAATCCCAACCTTCAATCTCATTGGATACGTGGACACTGATCACACAGCAGACCCCGATAATCGACGGTCCAGGACTGGCTTCTTGTTTTGCCTTGAGCCAACGGGACCAATTTCATGGAACTCGCAAAAACAGGAGCCGGTTGCCCTGTCATCGGTCAAAGCTGAGTCAATCGCTGCAACAGCAGCAGTTCGCAAAGGCCTCTATCTGCAGAAACTCCTGCAAGAAGCAAAAATTCCAGCTTCGCCTACTTTTTGCCTGCACTGCGACAACCAAAGCGCGATCCGCATCGCGAACAAGCCAGGATTCGTCAACCGCACCAAGCACATTGCGCTGCGGTATTTCTTCGTCAAGGACGAAGTGGACAAGGGCAAGGTGGACCTGACTTACTGCCCGACAGGTGACATGGCAGCTGACTTCCTGACGAAGCGACTGCCACGCCAGCAGTACCAGCACTGCTCCGAACTCAGCGGAGTAGTCAAGCAGGTCAAGTCGAGCTACGGCCAGGAGTGAAGGGGGGTGTTACGAATAGTGAAATATGATTGTGCACTCCTAACCGCAGCAAAGCGTAGTACACAGTATTGAGGCACGAACGCGAAGAGTCAGAGTTGACTCGAAGGGTTGCTGACAGTTGGGATGGATCTGGACCGTCGGAAGTAGACAGCATCAAGCAGCTACAGGAACAAGGAATTGGCGGGAACCGTTTTTGTAACTGCTCGAGCCGCACGGTTGAGTTGAATTTGAATAAGGGAATGTGCCCCTTAGAGTACATGGCTAGCTTGGTCGCTTCGTATTCCATCCTGTACGACTATTTATATGCCTGTATCTGCATGTTTTAATCATCTCAGCATTTTACATTCACGCTGTCTGAGATCAAGGGCCCACCACTACCAATCCACTGTGTGCGAACCTTCCCAAGGTGATCCTAGGGTTGATCAACTATTGATCGCAACACATACATGGCGTGTTTCCCTCGGAAGGAGGGGAATCTCAGGTTGGACGACTCTAACGTCAGGCTGGATTGCTTCGCGTCACGGTCAGTTGGCTCGCAGAGAATGTAGCAAAGCAACCTCAATGACTCACTACGCTCTACGTGCACATATTTGGGCAGAAGCTATAACTAGAGTTTAAATATGTTGAAGGAAGCGGGCGTGCCTTGCTAGGTTGGTATTCACGTATGTAATAGGGCCAACAAACATGTGGAAATAGGCATAGTGCATGCGCTTAAAATTTATTGTTGTGTTTGCATAGAGCAGACCTTTCAGAAGCCGATGAAGAATGACGATCATCGCACCGATTAGAGGCACAACCCTAGTCGTGGCGGAGCTGGGCCGAAGCCGTGTTTACGAGGAAAGGCCCTGCCCTCGCTTGGGCGAAGAAGACTTCATAATTGGTTAGGCTTCGAGATGGATGTTGACTTGGAGGAGCAATTCAGCTTGATTGGTTGACCTCAACGAAGCCGACTTCGGCGGTTAAGCAACTTAGGTGGAGTCATTCTCTTCAAAGCCGACGTCGGCGATTAGCAAAGCAGGCTTCGTTGTCCAGCATGCAAGGTGCGCCGCTTCTGTGACATCGTTGTCAGTAATACTAGGAGTGGGGCCTAGGCTTAGTAGCCTAGGCCCACACTAGGAGGTAGTAGGTTGTGCCCTAGGACTAGGGTTTGTGGTATACGAAGGAGAATTGTGAGAATGGGAATGATGATGAACTAGCAAGCAGCAGGATACATATAGGAAACCCTAAGGGGTTGTACTCACTATTGAGCACCCCACTGCAGGCTAGACAATAACATTCTGACAATCGTCGATTCACAGGAGCGATCTGGTTGGTTTGTTTGGTTATCAAACTTCGGTACAGCCAACTACAACGCGATCCACGATTTGGGCTTGAGCTTTAAACATACAAGACAATTTACCTAATTACTAATCTTTTCATTTCTTGGAGGGGCTGAACTCCGAGCCTTTAACTATCTATTCCGCCCCTTTTTTCTTGCCCCTTTTTTCATACAAATAAATTGTATTTTGTGGTTGTTTTTCCTGAGTATTTAATGTACCGTCAATTCCACGACCGCGATAGCTGCCCCGCGTAAAATTGATGGTGTTCAAGCAATCCGAATAACATCCATGACGATGGCTACCACCCACAACTAAATAAATGAATTTGAACAATACCAATGCACCTCAGTAGTTTGCACGCGTATGCACCAGAGCTGTTTAAGTAAGGGCATTTGCCCTTAATGCGTTGATCATTCCGGGCTACGCTCACAGCAGCTCGACCGTATAAAATATTAGATTCGCATGGCACGCGTGACAATTAAGGGCCTTGTTTGGGCCTTCTCTGAATCTAAGTTTTGGTTTCTATTTCGAAGGACCCCGCTAAAAAAAATCCCCACCTCTCCCTTTGACGCTTTTGCCTGTGATCCTCCGATGTAGAGGCTGAAGATGATTTACTGCTCCTCAGGCGTAGATGAGTAGTATTTATGCTCCTTCTCGCTGCTAAGTGGTTGGTAAACATCTGATCTTTGTAGAATCCTAAACCCGAATTTCAAGTTTTGAAATTGGCCAGCGCCCGTGAAAATCAGTGCCAGAATATAAGCAGCTCGGGACTCAAAGTTTTGGTCCCAGGGATTTCAACAGGCCAGGTGTGCACCAAGATATGAGTTGTTCAATTTTAGAGCAGTACGCAGCAATGGTCGCTTTGATAAATACGTGATTGCATACATAGTATAAAGTCTTGTGGAATTATCTGAATCGTTGAAAGTGAAGAAATAGAGAGAGAGAGAGAGAGAGAGAGAGAGAGAGAGAGAGAGAGAGAGAGAGAGAGAGAGAGAGAGAGAGAGAGAGAGAGGACGAGGAGGAGGAGGAGGAGGAGGAGGAGGAGGAGGAGGAGGAGTCAAGGAAGACGAGGAGGACGAGAAAGACAAGGAGGAGGAGGAGGAGGAGGAGGAGGAGGAGGAGGAGGAGGAGGAGGAGGAGGAGGAGGAGGAGGAGGAGGAGGAGGAAGAGGAAGAGGAGGAGGAGGAGGAGGAGGAGGAGGAGGAGGAGGAGGAGGGAGAAGAAGAAGAGGGGGGAGAAGAAGAGGGGGGAGAAGAAGAGGGGGGAGAAGAAGAGGGGGAAGGAGAAGAGAGGGAAGAAGAAAGAGGAGAAAAGGGGGAAGAAGAAGAAGGGGGAAGAAGGAGAGGGGGAAGAAGAAAATGGGACAAGGAAGAGGGAGAAGAGGAAGAAGAAAAACAACAGCGTAATTCCTGTACCAGCGAATGTAGTAAGGTTTGTACATATACGAATATTTGTTATGCTGACAATGGCCGAAGATCCGTACAGCAAGAAATTTGGCATCTCAAATTAAGTATAATTGTTACAAAGAATGAGAGACTCCGAAGGATCTTATTTATGGGTTGATCGTAGATAATGCGTAGTGGAAGAAAAGTTAAATTACACTTGTCATAGTGATTGAAAAATGCAAAATCGATTAAACCCAAGGGTTCCATCGCTTTGCGTAGTTGCACCACGAAGACGTGATAACTAGCCATGCATTATAAGGCGTACACTCCGTTATTATATATAAATCGCTACCGTCGGATGCGGCAACTGTATAGATATGTTACTGCCATTTCCCTTCTAAATGTTCATGTTGTAACTGTTTTGTTGGTAGGTGCCTTTGTTCCTTCGACCGAATGTGTCCCATAATTTCTGGAGCTCGGTAATGCCTGTTTCTGTTACGATCGAAAATGATAGTTGGCATTTCATGTCGTACACGTGACACCAAGATTCACATTGTGCTCGATAAAATTATCAAGGGTGCAGCTTTTTGTTCCCATAGATTATTGATCTATAAATATACGATAGCTTCATATAAAATCAAAGATATATTAATTGTTGCCTTGTGACCGAGAAATGAAACAAGATTTGGGGTTCTCTCATATCTCGTCTCAATTATGTGGTATGACACGAAGTGGACGTTAGGAAGGCACAAAGCAACTGGAAGTTTAGGTAAGGCGAGGTTCGGAAGCAACTCTAAGTCAATATATGTCTTTCAAGCATAAATCTTGTGTCTGATATGAGGTAATAATGCACCCTATGTATCGAACTTGTTCATCTCTGTTTTTTGGCACACATGATATCCAACTTTCCTGTGAAACTTTTTTTCCATAATACTTCGTGCGTTTGAGAATGTGCAACGGTCCCATCGTGTCCAGGGGGGTTTTATTAACCCGCATAAGTTTTTACTCAACTGATCACTCTGCCATCCATCCGTTCTTCAGAAAATTTGAGCCTTTTACGACTTGAGGCACGCAAAAGCACCTAACTCCTTACAGTTCGTTTTATAAGGCGACTCTTGCGTGCCTCTAACGAGCATTATTTGTACATCAAATGTTAGCTTGTACAGTATAAGTGCGGACTGAGCGGATGTGGGCCATCCTCCAACTCTTCCTCTGTCATGTGTCATTCCTTGCTGTCACTTCTGCAACCAACGACATTGATTTTTATGTACGTCATTTTGTCACTTTGTGTGAAGGGAAGTGAGGGAGGAAGTGACAAGTGGAACTCAGTTGATTGGTCCCAGAAATACGACTGCTTGTCGAAGCACCACAAGACTTTAGGCTTTTTAGTTTGAATCACCCCGTTTATCGAGTGTGCATATTCGCAACTCTCATATGTTTTGCAAGGCAACCTTTGTTCAAGGACTTCGACATTGCAGCGTAAACAAGGGGGGATCGCTAGGACGAAAGAACAACATAACTGATTTCACCATACAGTTCACGTTGAAGGGACGGACCAAATCGATTGTTGTCAAGCCAGCCTACCACCGCGACCTGCACAGCCTAGCTTTCCCTAAGCAAAGGAAACCTAAAAAGCCTGTTTCATTTCAAATCAAACCACCCACGTCCGTTCGCCGACGAAATTGAATTAAAAGCTCTCTTCCTGATCAAGCTTTCTCGCATGTCTTCTCCACGAATTGAGACTTCCCTTCCCTGTCAGCGTCTGAAACTCCTAGACTCATCGTCTCATCGTCTGAATCTCATCTCCCCCACAAACCACAAAGCCAGCCATCCGACCTTCCTGCCTGCCGAACCGTCATCCCTCTTGGAGCCTTGAGGTCAGCGCGGTGCGCTGCGCTAATGCAACCCAACACAACCTCCTCAGCTCAACAGCCTCCACCACGTTCAATGGAAAATCTGTTCGCATCTAACGGCGAGACGGTGCGGTCGCCTCGCCAGCTTTCTCGACAACTGTCCAGTCTATGCCCACCCTCCTGCCATGGTCACATTCCTAGGGCTGGTCTGCGCTTCGCAGACCACACGAAGTGCCTGCTTCTTAGGAAGTGCCTGCTGCTCGCTTCGTCATTTTTCTCCCCACACGTCACATCAATCGCTCGTTCGCCGCCTCAGTTGCTGATGGTGCGCTTGTCACACCGTCTGTCTCTAGAAGCTTGCTGATAGAAATCCTCGATCTCATCACAAAGTTTGTCTCTTCGAGGATTGTACGTTTTGCAGTATCCAGAGTGACATTTCGCCTCGTGTTTCTGCATGCAACGTTGCGGGGTTTTTAGTTAATCCCGCACTGTTACTGAAAATATACGAAAAAAGCGCAGCATTGTCGCTTCTGGCGCACTGTTAGTGCCCAGTTTTCGATCACAGCGCATAGTTAGTGAGATTTCTACGCAATAAATATTTCATTGGTCAAAATGTTGACGGACCGACAACTCCGGTTGGATTGACGGCCATCGAACTGTTTGCACCTGAATTTTGGGCAGACGAAAATATATTACCCTCTCGGATGGCATGCTGTTCAGGGAGCATCAACCCTAAACACCGGGCGGGGTGTTTAGGGAGCATCAACCCTAAACACCGGGCGGAAGTGTTTAGGGAGCATCAACCCTAAACATTGGCCGAAAGTGTTCAGGGCTGATTCCCTTTGTCACGATTTTTATCTATATATATATATATTTTAATGGCTGCCGTCGAGGGAGCATCAACCCTAAACTCCACGCGACTGGATGTTTAGGATTGATGCACTCTCTATATGGGCGTGAAAATTTTGAAACACCTGACTGAGTTAAATAAATTTTCTGTTACATTGCAGGCTTGTCGTTTTCGGATATTTAGACGAATGAGCGTCGAGCTGCGTAGAAATCGCACAAACTCTGCGCTGTAAACGAAAAACGGGCAGTAACCCTGCCCCAGAAGCGATGAAACTGCGCATTTGGCGTGCAGTTTCGAAAACCGTGCGTTGTCAACTGAAAACCCAACGTTGCGTGGGGCTGAAGGAGGCAGAACAGTCGCTGTCACGTTTGCGAAGCGTACCCACGCGATCGCAGAAATTCACGCGCGTGAAGCATTCGCTCTAGGCGACTCATCGCGAAACTCAGATATTGTAGTTCCTTCTGCCGCTCCCTTCTCTTGGAAACTCCGCAAAACCATCTGAAGCCAGGGTCCTCACCACGTCACACTCAGCAACCTCGAGGACTCCAAGACCTCGACGGAATTCCCGTTGTGGATAAGACGGGGAGCGCACGTAAACTTTCCTTCCTCCCGCTCTGTCATCGCTCCCCGGGATTCTCGCCTTCTCATTTCCAATCCCATCCATTCACTCCTTGTTCCCATCTGTCTATCCAGCAGTCGTGGGACGTGGTAGTGAAGCTTACGAGTTCCACCTGGCCGAGCGCATGCTCCTGCCCTCGATATGTTTCCGCTCGCCGCTACTTTTCCGCCGCGCGTCCAAGATTTATCCAAACCCTTGTCGGAAAGTCTCTCAGTGCGTAATCCCAGCACGGCGGGACCTGCGACGTTTGACCCTTCAAGAAGTCGGATAACCTCGAATCTTGATTCTTCACGTTCGCAATCACGTTCAGAGTCACGTTCTGAAGAGCGACTTTGTAGCAATCGTGTTACTACTAGCCGCAGCGGTCTCAGCTCCGAGCATTCAGCAGGCAGCAGCGAGCGTGTGATTGAAAAACGTGGCCTTCTTCAAACCTTATCGTCTCCCGACGTGAACAACACTGCTACGACTATTTTCTCCGAGCCTTCAGCCAGCGTCAAACCGTTCCCGCAAGCGAGCCGCGCGAGCGGTTCTATTTCAGCATCGACTGACGCCGGTGCTCTTCTGCACGTGACCCGCTCGGTGTTGCCGTCGGTCTCTCGCCCTCGGGATCTTTTCTTAGGCGCCGCGTCGGCGCCGCGTTACCCGATGACGTCACCCGAACGGATGGATGCTTTCGAGGCGCTGGTACGAGTGACGAGCCAAGAAGTGCCGCTTCACGCGGCGCCACATGCGGAGCTTCATCCGGAGCCCGAGGAGAGTAAGCAGAAAAACGAACTCGCAGACCAACGACAGTACGATATCTCCGCCTCCGCAACCGCCTCCGAAGAAGCAGCAGCCGGCAGTCCGTCAAAACCGCCTGTTCAGCCGCCGTCAGAAGACGTTCGACATGGCAGTCCAGCAGACGGCGTCGCGGAAGTCAACGTCGACGTTGACGTTTCACAGAAATCTCCGTCGAAAGCGGCACGTCAAGACACCGCGATCATTGCGACGAAAACTTCAAATCTGAGGAAAATCGTTGACGGGAAGCGCGCTCGCGGGGAAAGTCCCACTGACGGCAGTCCAATGGCGGACGTGAAAGCGAAAAGCGCGATTGACGGAGGCGTTGGGAGTCCGCAGTTTAAGGTGAAGTGGGGAGACCTAACGCCCGCAGATCTGCTGTTACTATTGAGTCCTACTGTAGCGAGTTCCGTTAAGGTAAAACCGACGGGTGGCGGTCCGTACGTTTGCGGCGTTTGCGAGAAACGTTTTCCGTCATTGAACGCGTTGGACGACCACGACCACTTAGGTCACGGAAACCGTCGGCATGATTCTCAGGATGTTAGCGAACTTTCGCCGCGCGATGCTGGTTTGCCCCGAGGCGGCAGGTCCTTACGTAAAGGGAGAGGTTCGGCGGCGGCAGGTGTGGGAAGAGTAGGGGATTCGGTATTCGGCAGTACGGATCGGTTGTATGAAAGCCCACAAGGCGGCTTATATCGAAGCAAACGGTTGAGGGGCGACACGTTCCAACAGCCTACGGCGGTAGACATGCCCCAGCGTGCAGGTTTGGTCAGAAGAAAACGCTTGGGTTCGGCAGCAGCTCTTGAAAGCGGCAGGATTCAAGACAAGGTCGGGTTGCGCGATGGAGATGCTATGGCGGGGGGTAGGGTTGAGGCTACGTCACCAGTAGCAAGAGGTTACAAATCTAAGCGGTCGAAAATCATTGCGTTGGCAGTCGCGGCAGCATCTGCGTCAGACGCGCAGCGTCTCGCTGCAAACGCGACGGCGGCAGATGGCTTGGCGGAAGGCGCGCACTCGCCTGACGCG